TAACCTGACGGAGCTTGAGTTATCAGTCGCCGGAATCGCTGACCTCGTATCAAATTAAAACCCTAGAAATGAAAATTGACTTTTGAAGACGATTGATTGCTACAGAGTAGAGTACAAGTTTCAACCGGACTAAACCGAATGTCGGTACACAACAAAAGTAACACAATTACGAATTTAACCTTTTGGCATTTTTTGTTTGTTAACTAGTAGTATTAAGGGTTTTTTCGTAAATAACAAAAAAAAAATTAAAAAATTAGAAAAGATAGATTACGTGGTAAATTGTAGGTCATTAGATTGGAGTTTTTTGTTAGTTTTTAAATTATAATTTTTTTGTTGTATTTTTGACAAATTGTCTTTAATATTAAATCCAATTTAAATCGACTTTTTAACCTTTTTAAAAAAAAATTGTTTACTAGTATTAAACTATTAATTTTTCTTAATTATTAATATGATTAGTCAAAATTTTGTGGAAAATTAACTATTTTCACTGTAAGTGCCACTTGTAAACATATAATTGGTAAAATGACTTGTAATTTATATAATTAAAAAATAAAATTTATTAAGAGTTTTGCGGAACGTAAATGCCACTTGTCAAAATATAATTGGTAGTGACGTGATTTGCTACATGCTGTAAAAAAAATTGAGGATACGATAAAAAGCCCAATAAGAAACTGAAGCGGCCCAATCGTAATCCTCATTTTGCTCATCTTCTTCTTCTTCTCAAACAACACTAGATTTAATCTCAACACATCGCCTTTGATCACTCGCTTGGTACCGTCTTGATCTCTCACTCTTCTTCCTCGTTTGTGTTCATGTAATTTGGATCTCCATTGTACGAATCTTCTTTCTAGCTGCAGATTGTGCGATCCTGTTTGGTTATGTTCCTGAATTTGATTTGCTTGTGTTGATTTTGATTCTACAGTTACGTTTTTTTCGATTCTGTGTCTCTAATGCTCTTAGATCCGTCGGATCTGCAGAGATTCATCTGAATTTACGTCTTTCATTGGGTTTTCGTTTGGATTTCTGTATTTCGTTCGTTATCAGATTCGAGATCTCTTCTCTTTTACGTGATTTGTGTGATTCGGAAGATCAAATCTTGTTTTGTCTTTGTGATCTCGCGGTTGATTGTTACCGCACTAACTGATTTTACTATACTGTTGGTTCTTTTGTATTGCAGATTCACATTGCCTTTCTTGTAGCTTCTGGGATTGTTGGAACCTGAAAAGCAAATCAATATGGTATTGAGTTCTATTCTATGATATGTATATTTGTTTCTTCAGAATGAGTTTTCTGGTCTCTGATTAGTGGCACCATTCTAAAGTTGTAACCTGTGGTTTATATAGGTCGTGCTTGCTGCTTCCATTGTGAGCAAATCTGGAAAAGGTGAATGCTTTGTGTATTACATATGTCATTCCACGGT